CAGCAGCAACACCAAGAAGGACGTGGAGACCCTGTGGCTGTGCCTGAGTAAAGTGCGAGCTCTCCTGCCCGTACAGATGTCGCAGGAGGAGGAGGAGCTCATGAGGGAGTTGCTGTGGTGAGTGGCGCTACGTTGGCTGGTGTGGGGTTACTTCCACGGAGGTCAAGCTGTTGGTGTGAGAAGGGGTGGTGTGTTTTTTTCCCTTTATTTTCGATATTCTTGTTGAGATATGACATATATATATGTGTGTGTGTGTGTGTGTGTGTGTGTGTGTGTGTGTGTGTGTGTGTGTGTGTGTGTGTGTGTGTGTGTGTGTGTGTGTGTGTGTGTGTGTGTGTGTGTGTGTTTGTGTATGTGTGTATGTGTATTGATAATTACTTACAGAGAATATCCTATTATACCAAAATCGTAAAAGTGAATAAGTGAATTATTATTTATAAAAACAGAATATCAAACAAAAATTAAATTATATTAAACTTTTTAACATTCTCTTCCGTTTGTCATACACAATGAATGTAATTCCGTCAAATGAACTTTTCAAAAATAGAAATCAAAATTCTGTCTCTTCCTTCTTACCCCTTCTTACTACCATCCACCCCAAACCCACAGGACTCTCGTGAACAACCACATCTTCTTCCAACACCCCGACCTCATCCGCATCCTCCGTGTTCACGAGAACGTCATGGCTGTTATGATGAACACCCTCGGACGTCGAGCTCAGGCCCAGAACGAGACCCAAGCCGTCGAGGGCGAGGCCGCGCAAGCCAAGGAGAAGGTGCGGACTCAACCTATCCATATACTTCGTTTCTCTATTTCTACTCTTTTTATATAGGTCTACTCTTTGTTTCTTCTCCTTTCTATGGGTTTACTATCTATTTCTATTTTTGTATAGGTCTACTCTTCATTTATTCTCTTTTCTTTGGGCTTACTCTCTATTTCTGCTCTTTTTATAGGTCTACTCTTTATTCATTCTCTTTTCTGTGGGTTTATTCTCTTTTTCTACTCTTTTTATAGGTCTACTCTTTATTTATTCTCATTTCTATGGGTTTACTCTCTATTTCTACTCTCTATAAAGGTCTACTCTTTATTTATTCTCTTTTCTATGTGTTTACTCTCTATTTCTAATCTTTTTATAGGTCTACTCTTTATTTATTCTCTTTTCTATGGGTTTACTATCTATTTCTACTGTTTATAGGTCTACTCTTTATTTATTCTCTTTTCTATGGGTTTACTTTCCATTTCTACTCTCCTGTACGTTGACTCTCTGTTTCCACTCTTTTCTCTAGGTTTACTCTGTTTCTACTTTTTTCTCAACGTTTACTCTCTATTTCATCTCTTTTGTATAGATGTACTCTAGATTTCTGTTTTCTAGGTTTACTCTCTGCTTCCACTTTTTTTCTCTACGTTTAGTCTCAATTTTTACTCTTTCCCCAACGGTCACTCTCTATTTTCTCTCTTTTCTCTGTGTTTATCTCTGTTTCTCTACTTCATTTTGGTTTTCTATTGGCTTAACATCCATTTATTTTTTTTTTACTTATGGTTTTCGATTGCCAACGGGTTTTGGTTGTTGTTTTCTAATACTGTGTTTTAATGTGTTTGTTTACTAATATCTATAAAAGTTTATATTCTTCGATGGCGCGTATTTTTTTTTCTTTTTGCTTAATTATCATCATCACTTATTATTCTCGCGATAATTGTTACTGTTCTTGTTACTTTTATCATGATGATAGCGTTGATAATAATGATAATGATGAAAAATGATAATGATTATCATTAACATTATTATTGTTTTTCTTATGATGGTGATGATGGTGATGATGATGATGATTATTATAGTTTTTTTTTTATTATTTTTGGTATTATTATTATTATTATTATTATTATTATTATTATTATTATTATTATTATTATTATTATTATTATTATTATTATTATTATTATTATTATTATTATTATTATTTTATTAGTAATAGTATTATTGTTATTATTATCATTATCACTGCTATTGTTGTTATCATTATTTTTATCATATTATTAGTAGTTGGAGTAGCAGCAGTATTGTTATTATCATTGTTGTTCTCATTATTGTTATTATCATTATTTTGTTTTATCATTATTATTACGATTATTTTTTCTTTTTTATCATTACCATTATTATTGCTGTTATCATTATAATCATTATTATTATTTTTGTTATAATGATAATGATAGTAATAATAATAATAATAATTATTATTATTATCATTGATATTATCATAATGATAATAATTATATTAATAATGATGTTGATTATTGTTATTATTGTTGTTATTATTATTATTATTATTATTATTATTATTATTATTATTATTATTATTATTATTATTATTATTATTATTATTATTATTGATATGATGACGATGATGATTATCATCATTATGATTATTATTATTATTATTGCCATTATTATTATCAGCATTATCATTATTATTATGATTAGTAGTATTGTTATCAGTATTAATATCATTACAATTAATAGTGTTAACAGTAGTAGTAGTAGTAGCATTGTTATTATTATCGTCATCAGTATTACGAAGATTGGTATTACCATCATTATCATTATTATTATTATTATTATTATTGTTATTATTATTATTATTATTATTATTATTATTATTATTATTATTATTATTATTATTATTATTATTATTATTATTATTATTATTATTATTATTATTATTATTATTAATTATTATTATTATTATTAATAACTATCATTATTATTATTATCATTATTATTGTTATCATTGTTATTATTATTATTTTATCATCATCATCATGGACACCATTATTGCTATCATTATTATTAATCAAACGACGTCAACGAATCTTCTCAGAAAAGGTTATTTTTGAGGTGTTTTTGTTTCTCATGATTTGTTCATTTATGGCTTTATTTGCATGTGTGATTCCATTAGGAATTCTCACCTTTCTATTAATATATCACGAATTATTAACCTTGGATTAATTGCCTGATTCGCTTAGACTTGTTTGTTATACATGTGTGTGTATGATGTGTGACCCACACACGCATACACATACACATATATGTACACGTACACGTACACGTATACGTATGCGTATGCGTATGAGTATATGTACACGTACACGTATGTATGTGCGCACACACACACACACACACACACACACACACACACACACACACACACACACACACACACACACACACACACACACACACACACACACACACACACACACACACACACATATATATATATATATATATATATATATATATATATATATATATATGTATATATATATATATATATATATATATATATATATATATATATATATATATATATATATATATATACACACACACACACACACACACACACACCACACACACACACACACACACATATATATATATAATATATATATATATATATATATATATATATATATATATATATACATATCTACATACACATTTAAACAGTATATGCAAACACAACCTAATATGTCTTGTTTGGTACAATAACTTTAGTATGTTTGTGTGGCAGGCTTGTGTAATAACAATATACGTCTGTTTAGTCCTATATTGCTATTGTTTGGCATTCCATTCAGTCACTAAACACGTTGAAGATCAAATATAACAGTCATTCTATCGCATTTGATCTTTAATTTATTTAAGATAGATAATAATGAGTAGATAATGCAGACCTTGTTTATTGTTCATCTCAATAACCTATTTTTCATCACAAGGAATGACTTTCTGCTTTGATCTTCGACCCATAATTTCGTTTGTAAGACTCTTAATCACTAATAGTATCAAAACGTAAGAAAAGTAAAAAGTAAAGATTAAAAAAACAAGAGAGAGAAATCAAAGACTCCTTTTTGCTCTTTGTGTTTTTGTCTTTTCACCTCCTTGTTGAGAGAGTCTTCAGTGAAAAGTCGATGTCTTCTCATTTCTTCCAAGCCTCCGAAACCTACTTCAACAGTCTTTCCCTTCCGTAAGTGAGGCCACAACGCCACTTCACCTTGTTCGGGGTGTAGGGAGGGAGGGAAAGGGAGGGAAGGGGGAGGAGGGTATCGGGAAGGGACGAGGGGCCAGGGAGGGGCATAGGAGGAGGAGGAGGAGGAGGAGGAGGAGGAGGGAGGGATAAGGGGAGGGTACAGGGAAGAGGAGTATGGGTTCGAGGATGGTACAGGGAGAAGGACATAAGAAAGAGACACAATTACTCCACCTTGTAAGGGTTTAATGAAGGGAGGGGATGGGGAGAAGGGGTCAAAGGAGGGTACAGAGACACATTAGTTACTATACTTTGTTCGGACGAAAGGGAAGGGGGAGGAAGAGAAGGGTTGGTAGAGGACTCAGAAAAGAGTTATAATTAAGCTTCGAAATTTAGAGTTATTTTACATGTTATCAAACTTAGATATCAGTTAATAAGGACTCCTAATACTGGTGTCCCTTGTTAATCTCTTAGAGATTAATACATAAATTCCCTCTGAAGGAGACTAAGCTTGTTAAGATTAGTTAAATTTATATTTATCAAGGCTGATCCATCCCTAGCTTGTTAGGATTAATTAAGGCTTAGCTTTTTAGATCTAATCAATTCTAGCTTCTTAAGACTGAATAAATCTTAGCTTAGTTTACTGTAGTGAACACCTCTGTATTGTGAACGAGAGAGGTTGTATAAGATTGTTAAGTAAGATATTTTGTTAAGTTAATATTTTTTCATTTTACAGTGACAACAGAATAAGATCAGGGCTAGAATAACGCACAATGATAGTTAGCTATGGCATGATTTGGATTAAGGATTTAGAGTTTATTCAAGGGAACGGGATCCAACAAATACCCAAGAAAAACATCATGGGAACACCAATGTATTGATACATTTTGAAACTTTTTGTATTGTGCATCAGATGTTTTCTCAGGCACTCTTACGAATACAGAAATGTCCACGACCCTAAACATATTTCAGACAAGGGATATTTTAGAATACATATATATATTTTTTGTAAATTCCAGTCCACTTGCCTACCGTGAAAAGAAAATGTTAAGATTCTTATTGGCTCTCAAGTGCATTCATATGAGATGACTGAAGATGACTTCAACAAATTTGGGTTTGTCTTTTTTGGCATGATTTTATTAACATAGCTTTTCATACCCTTATGCTTGTAGTCTTATAATAATATAATCTTTCACCGCATCAAATTTACTACGGATATTATAAGCATTATTATTGTTATTGCTAGTGATGATTTCAGTGTCGTGCAAGTCAGTCTTGTATATCTAGATCATGATTTAGACGATTTTTATTTGGCCATTTCCGCTTTTGCATATGCTTAAATCCAATCAAGCTGGCGCCAAAAAAGCATTTAAAAAGATAATGAGAAAAAGAAAATCCCTCACCATTGACCAAGTTTGACCTGACCTCCTCCGTGACCCCAGGACACCTCGCACGAGATGGTGGTCGCCTGCTGCAAGTTCCTTTGTTACTTCTGCCGGACGAGTCGCCAGAACCAGAAGGCCATGTTCGACCACCTGCCCTTCCTGCTGGATAACTCGAACATCCTGCTCTCGAGGCCCTCCCTGCGCGGCACGACTCCGCTCGACGTGGCCTACTCCTCGCTCATGGACAACACCGAGCTGGCACTGGCTCTCAGGTAATGGCACCCAGGGCCAAGGGGGAGGGAGGGATGATGGGGGTGGTCGGGGAAAGGTACTGATTTATTTTTCGTTTATTGGAGGTCTGTTGGTAAGTATGTCATTCTTTCCCTTTCTGATTTTCTTATCTCTCTCTCTCTCTCTCTCTCTCTCTCTCTCTCTCTCTCTCTCTCTCTCTCTCTCTCTCTCTCTCTCTCTCTCTCTCTCTCTCTCTCTCTTTCTCTCTCTCTCTCTTTCTCTCTCTCTCTCTTTCCCCCCTCTCTTTCTCTCCTTTCCCTTTCCCTCTCCCTCTCCCTCTCCCTCGTCCTCTTTTTTTCTTCCATCTCATCCATCCCATATTTCTTCTTCCCGTCTCTCCATCTCTTCACCCACTCTTCCCTTCAACCCACAGTTCTAAAATCCCAATAAAAAACACCCACTCGAGCACCATCTGACTGCCTCGTTCACATTCCCCAGAGAGCACCACCTGGAGAAGATCGCCGTCTACCTGTCCAGGTGCGGTCTCCAGAGCAACAGCGACCTGGTGGAGCGCGGGTACCCGGATCTCGGTTGGGATCCTGTGGAGGGCGAGCGCTATCTCGACTTCCTTCGCTTCTGCGTGTGGGTCGGAGGTGGGTGAGGCTGGTGTGCGGTTGAGTCTGTGCGTGCGCTTGTGTGAGCGGTTTTGGTATGATTGCTTGTGGTACTGTGTGTGTGTGTGTCTGGTAATAAACCCTGTGTTTTGTGTGGGCGTGTGTGTCTCTGTGTGGTTAACGGTGTTTTTCTTGTGATTGTGTGTGGGATTCTCGTTTTTTGTGTAATTGTCTCAACGTCTGTGCGTGCGTGTGATTTTCTCGATGCATGAACGATTTTTTTCCTTTTTATGATTTTTGAAGAAACTGTATGTATAAATTGTGCCACTTTAAAAAAATCTTTCTTGGTGTTTATATGATGTGTGAAAGCCTGACTGAATAACGGGTTTTGAATTAATTGGCTTCGTAATAAAAGCCTCTCACTTCTGTAGTCTTTGCCGGCCTAACAGCATACCCTGCTTTTATAACTTTCCCTTTCATTTTTATAACGGTTAAGTCACATTAATATTTTCTTATGGTTTATGGTAGTGCAAAATTAGGTGCAATTTATGTGGATTATCATTATTATTTTTTGATAACTAAGACCACCTATTTTTCTGATTTTTATTTTCGTTTCATGTACATGAAGTATTAATAATTTTGCTTATCCACAATGAAAATTTAGTCTTTGCCTGTTGAGCTGTCAGTATTGTCCTGTCAACATTTTGTAAACAATGTCCTTTCCCTTTTTGAAGAAGCTGTCACCTGATTGGTCGACTTTCTTACGGGAGCGCCAATCAGACTGCGGCTTACAAACCAAAATAAAAACACATCCAGCGAATAGCATGATGGCTCTCAGTGTAACATGTTCGTAGTGCTACGGTCTGGCTTGAGCTGGCCTGCAGTGTTCGCTCCCTTTTTACCAGGTCTGAACAGGGATCAAGAAGTACAAGGTACACGTGCACTGCGTCTCACCATCTAGCTTTTCTCACTTGCTTTATTTTCCTCCCTGTTTTATTCACTCACATGTTGCCGCTTTTCCCTCCTCATCACTGACCTTATCAGACCATGTCTTCTTTGTCCTGGACTGTATTTTGAGGATACACTTTGGTCATTCATTGTGAAGTAAGTGCAGTTTTCTTGGTTAAGTCACTTGTGAAATGCCTTCATAAAAGACGCGTGTATACCTCAAAGGTCCTCTTTTCTTAACTACCAGAAGCATGGCACTTGAAAGTCAAAATACAAATTGAAAAATGATAAATGAAAAAATATAAGATTGTGCGGATTATATCAGATAAAACGTATAAAGTTCATAACGCAAAAAAGGGAATATGGAATCTCATTCTTTTGAAAGTCAGTGTATTTATTCCCTTATTCACATTTCCAAGACCATTTGTTTCAAGTAAACTCAGAAAGAAAGAAAGAGTTGGCCTTATTTTCTTGAAAAAAGAGAAAAAGAAAAGTCATGTCAGATAATGGCCGTTAAGCGAAAGCAACCTTCTTCGTCCTCATAGAAACCGCCCCTTTGAGACCGTTTTTGCTCTTCCTGCAGGCGAGAGTGTGGAGGAGAACGCCAACTTGGTCATCCGTCTGCTGATCCGCCGGCCGGAGTGCCTGGGTCCCGCACTCAGGGGTGAGGGCGAAGGCCTGCTCTGCGCCATCATCGACGCTAATAAGGTGGGCACTCGGAGGCGTCGTCGAAGGGTCGCTGACTGAGCCGCTGTTGGATTTGTTTATATGGGGCGAGGGGAGATACTGTAGGACGTTTGAGTGATTATAGCATGCATTATCTCGAGCTGGGACGATCAGAAAATTGCTGAAACAAGATTTTAGGATGTTGATGAATATTCAGGTTATTAATATTAATACATCTCTTCCCGTAGATGTCTGAGCGCATCGCCCTTCAGCGCCTGGGAGCCGAGGCCGAGGGTGTCGTGCCCATCGAGCACCCAATGCCCGCGGGAGACGACGACGAGGACTACGTGGACACCGGCGCCGCCATCCTCAACTTCTACTGCACCCTGGTCGACCTCATGGGCCGCTGTGCCCCGGAGGCCAACGTCATCGCCCAGGGCAAGAATGACAGCCTTCGCGCCCGGGCTATTCTCCGCTCCCTCGTGCCCCTGGAGGACCTGCAGGTACGTCGAATTACGAAGGAAATTCACGTCGCTATGATGATATATGTCTTTATATCACCTTTCACGTTTTTTTTTGTTTACAACTTCTCAATTTCCTTTCCTTCCAAGGGCGTCCTGTCGCTGCGATTCACACTGTCCAACACCTCCGACGAAGGCAGGAGCGACATGCCCCCGGGTCTCATCCCCGCCCACAAGCAGAGCGTCGTGCTCTTCCTCGAGCGTGTCTACGGCATGAACAACAAGGACCTCTTCTTCAGCCTCCTCGAAGACGCTTTCCTGCCTGACCTGAGAGCCGCCACAGCGCTCGATAAGGTGAGACAAAAACTTTACTAGTACATTGATGCCCAAATCATATTACTTCTTTGACATCAAAATATTACGGCTACTTTAATGCCAAATCCTTACAATTTCACTAACGCTAAAATCTCACTACTAGATTACCGCCAAAAATCTCATTACTTCATCAGACGCGAAAACCGTACAGTTTCATTGACGCCAAAAACATTGCCATTCCAATGGCGCCTTAAACGCTCTACTTCACTTTCTCCATTATCTATAAAACGCAAATCTCCTGCACATCGGAAAGCCATTCTAGACACAGATTAAAACAGCGGCGACGTTTCTGCTTTTCCAGTCCGATGGCTCCGAGTCCGAGATGGGTCTCGCCCTCAACCGCTACATCGGAAACTCCATCCTGCCGGCACTCATCTCGCACTCCAGCTTCTACGCCGAGGCTGAGGCCCACGCGCCCCTGCTGGATGCCACGCTCCACACCGTCTATAGGCTCTCCAAGTGCAAGGTGGGTAGGAGTGTATGGGTCCTGCTGATATTTCATCTTTATCTTCAACATCAATTTTACGTTTGGATTTCTAACTCTTATCTCCGTTATTCCCAATATCATGATTATCATTAACATCATAGATAACGTCATTATCGTCAGCCTTATCATCAATGTCATCGTCATAATGATAGTGACATTATCACTGTCATGATGATGATGATGATGATGATGATGATATTATCACTGTCACTCTCATCATACTATATGCTTACCCTTGCTCACCATAACCATTATCACCATCACCAACCCGCATTATCATTATTGTTAACATCATGATCATACTCATCCCTATACCCCCACCCCACTCCCACCACTACCACCACCCCCACCACCATTATCGTCCTCCAACAACTCTCCCCCCACCTCCCCGACTCCTTAAGCAATTCTGACCACTTTCCCCTCTCTTGCCTCCAGATCCTGACGAAGGGCCAGCGAGAGGCCGTGTCCGACTTCCTGGTGGCTCTGACCCGCGAGATGCAGCCGGCCGCCCTGCTGCCGCTCCTCCGCAAGCTGACCATTGACGTCTCCAAGTTGTCGGAGTACACCACCGTCGCCCTCAGGGTAGGTCTACGGCGAGATGTGGGGGACACTTCGGCAGATTTGGATTGATTTCAGTCATTATTGATTTTTGGAAGCTTTCGAGATTTTGGAACATAGGATTCTCTGCAGCAGTAAAATGTCAAAGGTTTTAAATTGATCTTACTTTTAGAATTTATAATTCCTCTTTGACGACTTGTCTCACCCACTTTAGCATTTTATTTTATTATTTTTTTTAATCGTCCCTTCTCTTCCGCAGCTGCTGACCCTGCACTACGAGCGCTGCGGAAAGTACTACGGCTCCTCCTCCAACACCCCTGGCACCGCCTCCGAGGAAGAGAAGCGCCTGACCATGATGCTCTTCACCAACATCTTCGACTCCCTGGCCAAGATGGAGTACGACCCAGACCTGTTCGGCAAGGTAGGAGGCCTGGGTCACCGATGTCACTAAACGGGATGCGTTAAGAGATAGAGCCTTTGATGAACTTGATAGATACAATTGGTAGGAAAATGAATTGGCCAAGAGTCGTTTCGTGTATCGTCAAAACAAAGAAATAAACTAAAAAACATAGAATGAATTTAGTAAGACGATACGTGTTTCCCCTTCCGTCTTCCCTCAGGCTCTGCCATGCCTCTCAGCCATCGGTTGTTCCTTGCCCCCCGACTACTCGCTCACCCACGGCTACGACGACGAGCTCTACAACACCGCCTCCTGCGCCGAGGGACCCTACAAGCCCGCCCCCATCAGCACGGAGGAGTAAGTGGCCGAGCATCGATCCAGAATGCTCGGGAACTGCCTTTGTATATTTTGGCATTTCTGAGTTTAGTGGACGCTGAAGGAGAATCTTGGTTAGGGAGTTCGGTACAAGGCTGAATGTTTCGTTTTTGTGTCTAGTTGATTAAGGAATAGGTATCACACAAGAGTGAACGAAGGGATATTAGTTTACTAAATACTCCTGGTAGAAATGTAATGCGTTTTATCCTAGCTCTCGCCATAGAATGCTAAATAAAGCCTTATATCTAACAGCGTGGTATGTCGTGGTATATAATGAAGCCGTTTCTATTGGGTAACAAGGTACTTCATATTAATAATCGTTCTTTGGTGTAAATTGTTGATAGATGTAATAAATACATTAATGAATTGATAGATAAGAAATATATATATATATATATATATATATATATATATATATATATATATATATATATATATATATAATGCAGAAGTAAATAAACCAATACTTACCACAATCAAATCATTGTCAATTAATTTCTTATATATAAACTACATAAAAGTTCTGTATTCCAGTCTTTTTCTTTCCCTTAACTGGCAATTAATTTCTTATATATCAACTACATAAAAGTTCTGTATTCCAATCTTTTTCTTTCCCTTACCTTCCATATCTGAAGAGGAATGGGTAATGGTGATCCATCACAACACTGCCAGTAGTAGCGATACCAAAAAAAATTGAGAACCGTCGATCTAACTCGATACTGCCTCCCACAGGGTGCAATTGGACCAGGACATCGTGGACCTGATCAACAAGTTCAGCGAGCACTACCACGACGCTTGGGCCTCACGCAAGCTGGAGAGCGGCTGGACCTATGGGGAAGCCTACTCCATTGAGGACAAGATGCATCCCAGACTCAAGCCTTATTCTATGCTGTCCGATTACGTAAGTTCGAGGAGGATTTAATTAGGTTGGGTTTTGGAGCCTTGTTTATCTCTCTCTTGTTTCCTGATTCCGGGTTGCGTAAGTTGTAGGAGTAATAAGTTTTGTTAGGACCTTCATGTTATGTTATGTTGACTTTGTTTACCATTACGTGAGCTTCAGAAGTGGGCGTTAGATTTAGCTTATTCATATTGGGTGGAATTTTATTTACTTCACGTTGTAAGATTGCGATGATTCCGGAAATAGTCGATCAGGTAGGGATTTAGGACCATATTAATATTTTGCAGGAGTTTGTTTGCAGCTGTCGGATTAGATGAGTCTCCGCAGAAGTCGCTAATACTGAGATTGATTAACATTACGTGGAAGTGTGTTTCCTGTCGTCTCATAACGAAAGTTTCAGGCGCAATCGATAACACTGGAAGTTGTTTGTTACATGTACCTTGTTTCCTTGTACCAGATCACGGAAGTTGCTGGAGTGATTATGATTGGTATAATTGGAGTTTCAGGGCTTTGTTGACATCTCGTTCCATTAAGCGAGTTGCAGAAACGAATGCAGCCTCTAATAGATCAAGAACCTCATTTGCGTTTGGGAAAAGTTTGTTCCTCTACACACATGTATATATTCCCTTTACGTTTCGTTCATTAGTAGGCTTACAAGTTTATTGGTGAGGTTCACTTAGGATTTGATATGAACTCTTGCTTGTAGACACTCACCTTCTTGTATCTGAAAAGAACATAAACAAAAAAAACTGCTTCTACAAACTACAATGAGAATACAATAGAGTATAAACATATATTAATGAATATACCACTCACCTACCGTCTTTCTTCCGCCGGCAGGAGCGTGAACGAACGCGACGCCCGTGAGAGAAGCCATCAAGGCCCTTTGCAGCTGGAACGTACGAGAGCATGGAGAACACGAGCGCCGGCCGTGCACGCCAGGACACCGTAAGTCCGTCTGTTCTTGCTTGGGAATACTCTGTTTAAGAAGATAAGATATTGCTAGAAAGGATAGTCCGGCAATCTATTATCAAGTTATATGGTCTTCTTCTGTTTTTTCTTTTTTTACTATTATTGGATTATTATTATAATTAATATTTTATAATTATTATTGTTATTATTATTTTTATATATAATTATATAGTATTATATTATCATTAAAATATGATATAATATTATATTAAAATATAAAATAATAATAATTAATAATAATAATAATAATAATAAATAATAATAATAAAAAATAATAATGAAATTATTTAATTATCATTATTATATATATTATTATTATTATTATATTATTATTATTATTATTATTATTATTATTATTAATTATTATTATTATTATATATTATATATTATAGTATTATTATTATATTATTGTTATTATTATCATTAATCATCATTATAATATTATTATCATGATTAGCCTATTTACTATTACTGTTATTATTGTTATTATCACTTCTTTTCTTCTTTCCTTTTAAGGGAGGTATCATACTTTCCCTGTCCGAATGATCAACAACATTTAGGTGATTTCTGTCATTATCATTTATTACTTTTCAAAACAAATTTCTATTCCTTCTGCAGTCCGATCTGTACAACTACAACCCACAACCTGTGGACATGACCAACCTGACGCTGTCCAGGGAGATGCAGAACATGGCCGAGCGTCTGGCTGAGAACGCGCACGACATCTGGGCCAAGAGGAAGGTCGAGGAGCTGGAGGCCTGCGGTGAGTGGCGGACGTCGCGAGGAGTTGCCGTTTTAGATGCGGAATCGTGTCCTCATTTGTTTACTTTAATGTCGAATTTGTATTGGATTTTAAGTGGATGTTTTTTTTCAAATTAGCGAATAGGAAAAGTGTATTAGTTTTATCGAAGTTAAATAGACAGATACGACATCCCTCTTCTTTCCTCATTTTAGATGATTTTGATTTAGATGATTTTGATTGCTTTCGCTGAAACGTCGAATTTGTAAAACTATTGAATTTTAAGTAGATGCCTTTCTTTTCAAATCAGTGAATATGAAAAGTGCATTAGTTAAAATGACAGATATGACAGCCCTCCTCTTCCTCTGGCAGGTGGCGGCCTGCACCCTCAGATGGTGCCATACGACATGCTGACCGAGAAGGAGAAGCGAAAGGACCGCTTCCGCTCCATTGAGCTGCTCAAATACCTTCAGTTCATGGGCTACAGGCTCAGCAGGTGAGTTTCTTGCCTGGCCACATGATCATATGCGAAAGAGAACTGAGAACATGATCTCCTCAGTAGTACCTAGTTGGCCTATTTTCAACTCGCTGTTTCTCTCTCAGGAGCGGCGCCGTTGAGGACAGCGGTGCAGGAAGCGCAGGAGCCGTCGAGCGTCGCTTCGCCTACAGTCTGCTCGAGAAGCTGCTGCAGTACCTGGACTGCGCAGCCATCAACATGAAGCTGCTGAAGCCCTCTGCTAATCTCTCCAGGCGAAGCTCCTTCAAGACTTCGACTAAGGATGTCAAATTCTTCTCGAAGGTCGTGCTCCCGCTGATGGAGAAATACTTCAGGTAAGAAAATGCCACTGTCGGCGAGTTTACTAAGCAATCTAATTAAGGAATCGTAACTTTAATTCACTCGAGTCTTTTTATAACTCCTTTGTTTATCTCTTTCCTTTAGCACCAACCGCAATTACTTCCTGACGGTGGCACAGACATCGACGATGGTGGGTGCGGCGTCTCTCAAGGAGAAGGAGATGGTTGCTTCCCTCTTCTGCAAGCTGGCTAATCTCATGCGTCTCAAGATGGTCTGCTTCGGTTCTGATACAAAGGTGAGGTCTAGCGGCAGACTGACTTGTGATTGCAGATTTAACATGATGTCATTCACCATTTCCTCCATTTTGTAATACTTCATACTATATAAATCTTTATGCAAAATATGTGAAACGTATATAGCTCCTTAGAAGCCTACAGACTAAAAAGATGTAGCCCAAGAGTAAAAGAGACCCCTATGTCCTTCCACATTGATCCCCGACACTTTTTTTAAAATTTCAGGTTACGGTGAAGTGCCTGCAGGTGATCGTGCGTTCCGTCGACGCCAAGACGCTGGCCAAGAGTCTCCCCGAGTTCATTCGCACGTCGATGCTCACCTTCTTCAACAACGCAGCCGTCGATCTGGAGATGTGCATCCACTGTCTTCAGGAGGTGAGAAGACTTGGTGGTGCTTTAGGGAATAGTGTTCTTTTATGTAGGCTGTATACTATGAATCCATTTTTGAGAAGTAATGGAAGTGCAATATCGCATGATAAAAAATCAGCTTTCAGTATTGACGGGAAAGAAAATATACCTTCTGTCACTTATGATGCACGATTGACCATGTTATTACCACGGCATTGTCATTGCCGTACACAAGGGCAAATACGTGCTTTACTATCTCGAGGTAATGCGGCAACTTGAAGACGTGCGCATCACCCGCAACACGTGCGAGACAGTTTCTTCTGGCCGAGGTGCTCACACACCTCGCTCATTCGATCAACGAGCAGTGCGCCGCGGTTCGGGGCGAAGGATCTTCTGTGCCTGAGTATAACTGGTGAGCCTCTTTAATAGATATATTCCCGTTACACGCTCTCGAATGCAATTTCTGTATTTCCTCTTACTCTTGTCTTTATCTTCTGACTACTTTTCTTTCCTTAATCCCTTTCTTCTTTCTTTGCTTCTCTACACCTCGTGAATCATCTCTTCTCCCTCCCTTAGACTTCTGAGCCAATCTCAATGCTCTCTCTTCCTTCTGCTCCCCTCATGGGGATCAACTCGTGGCACCAGGTCACCACAGGGGCTTCCTTCTATTAACCTTTCCCTCTCGGGCTACTCATCTCTTCTTCTCTCTCAGTCTTGCTAGCTTGTCTTTCCTTCTAGGCAATCTCTTCTACTCTCCTCTCATCTCTCTCTATGCTCCGTCTTCATCTCTTCTCTCACTCATCTATCTTTCTCTCTTTCTTTGCTCGCATTTTACTAAATGATCTTTCTTTTCATATTAGCTTTTACTTTTCTTTGCAACTTGTATTAACATATTTAATCTGGGAGGTACATTGCTCGTCACTCTCTGCACTCATCTTCAGTCTTCAAATCTCTGCATACTCACAAAGTCAGCGCCGGCGCTCATCCCTCTACCTCTTCTCTCGCATCACCTCACCTCTGCGTTCCAGAACTCTCTCATTCTCTTGACTATGTAGCTAGATCCTTGCAGAGAATGGGACGTCATACCCTCTCCTTCTCTTGAGATATCGCGCCTCGCTATCCAATATTCATTTCTTCTCGATGCCTCTCTTCGTTCCTTACCGTTTCTCTAGCTCTACAGTAATCTGCGTCATCGCTGTCTCGTCTACTCACTGGCGAAATCGTAGATCACTACATCGAACATGCATTATCTTAAATACTCAGTCTCATCTCGACTCTCCGTCTCTTTCAGAGACTACTCCTTCGTCTCTACATGTTCACCGCACTTCTTCCCTCTTCTCTTCATGTCTTCTGCAGACCATTCTAACTGTTATCACTAACCATCATAAACTATAGTCATTGCATAATAACAGGAGGAGTTAAAAGGTGGAAAAAAGAATGTCTTGTATTCTGGAATACTTATTTCCAAACATGTGGGCACGAGATCCAAGTGTCTGCTACAAGCATCTTACGGTCGGCTGGTGTACCAGGCTGGACGCAGGCCGGACCTTCTCTCGTAGAAGGCAACAGGACCTTCATGAAGAGTAGGAGATTCGAAGTCGGCTCATCGCTCCCGCCACGTTCAACTGTACGGGGCCCTGCGCGGGACACGTCCTCTGCCGTTTCCTGATACCACTCAGAACAAGAAGAACCCGGGCATCCAAACCGCATTGCGATCATGGTCCCTGCAGCCCTCAAGGTAAATGTGTGGAGGGGTTGGACTGGAGGGGGATGAGCCAAGACGGGATGTTGAAGAGGGGTGGAGAAGGATGAATATGGAGTGAATAACGAGATTCGATTGAACTTGGAGAGAGCAGATGCAATGAGGGGAGTAGGAGTGAAGGATATGAGGTGCAGGAACAGATGGCGAAGGTAGGAGATGAAAAAAGCGAGGTGGTCAGGAACGTGAAGCAGGGAATGTGAGAAAGATTTGCCTGACCAGAGGATATATGCTCTCATTAAGACGTAAACAAACATAACTAGATATTAAAAACACGTTCCATCTAAACAATCTCCCGCTTCAGATCACCACACTCTTCTCTGTCCATGCTTCAGAATCATCGTGAAGAGAGTACAGGCGCATGCCTCGACGCCCGCGGAAAGGAGAACCGTCTGAAGGAAGAGAGAAGTTCTAGACGACGCAATCCCCACACACACGATTCCCCATCATCATCTATGACGCTTCGGCGCTGCCCATCTCAGTGCAGGCCGCAGTTCTCACAGAACGTGCGTAACTGGTGGACGATCAGGGACGTGATAATCTGAATCACATTCTGAGGGTTAGAAGTCTGCGTGTGCATAGCTTGTTATTTAAATATAGTAGGGACATTGAGTGTGTGAGAAAGATATAGTGCTGTTGCGACATTGATAGGATGTGACATCAGTGTGGATCCACACAGTGACCGGAGAACGTGACAGACTCGAGTAATGAGAGGGTGAAACGTGAACTAGCGGTGAGAATGAGGTATGACATGTGATAATAGTAGGGATGCAGGAGAGAATTGATGGATGGAGGTGATAGTTCGGTAGTTGGTGGTCTGTGTGGCGATAGTATGGTTGAGGAGGGAATACTGAGATGTAGAGAGGCATAGATATATAGCTAACTGTGTGGCTGACTTTGATAATGAAATAAAGAGGTCACTAACACAAAGGAGATTCGAAACACATCCAATATATACAGCAACAGGCATAATACACATCAATATCAGTAAAGACAATATATATTAGGCATGCGACGAATCCACACAGATATAGACAACATGAAGACAACAGATCACTCTAGTCTGCGATGAGTCCGATTCGCGGTACGAGGAGTAGCCAATACACAGAGCTCCACTGCATCATCTAACACTGGAATATACAGGCCACAGATTCCTGTGGCGCAAGCTCGAACTAAAATGCCACAGACGCCTTATGCGCAGCCCAATCGCGTACGTCGTGCATATTCGGTCCCTGGAGACGTGTGAGCACAGTGATACACGGCATGTCCTGCGTCCTAGGTTATGCTGTCCAGGTTGCTGCGTGAGTTATGGTTCAGACGTGGTATGTGCGAAGAATCCGCACCTTGTCGAAGTGACCCTGACATACGATCCGGTCTACATCTTTCGAGCAGTATCATCATGAGACAACAAGACGATAGGAACTGAATCATGAGTGAATGCAGCAGATACTACTCACCCTGAAAGACTCGTAGAGGTGTGCGCGAATAATGCGAACGTGAAGTGCAGGGGCAAAAGAAGGAGGAGCATACTCCAGGAGTTCTCCTTAAAGTCCACATAGCAGAGATAACAAAGAATACAGGTAGGTTTGAAACGCGTTGAAGTCGCCCACGATTGTGATGGAGAACCGAGTATACATATAATTAGTAAAAGTAGGATGCCCTAGTAGTATTATAGTGAACAAAATGGCTGGAAATAAAACACTACAGAGCAACAAAAAGCATGGGTGATTTGTCGTTAACACATTTCGTAAACTCGGTAAATACATTTCTCATTCAGAAGTCGAGAGCAAACTCTCAAGAGAAGGAAACTGTCAACGAGGGACATCTATGCATTCTATATACATTCTGCTTATCAAGTTAGCGTCGACCAGATCGAGAGGAACACTGAAGCTCAAGTCACGGCGAGTGCAGAGGCTGATGGAGTGTACACCGCGTTCCTCACAGATAACTTCCATATCTGGTCAAACTCACGGTAAACAAAGCATGTCTGTGAAAATACTTATAGTGATAAAGTTTCCATGATGATAACACACTATATATAAGATACGCACCCCCCCCACATCACCACACTCAAAGCACAGGCCAATAAACCAAATACACGCATAAACAAAACTCTACAATACTACATTCGATAGGCTCATCATACAACACACACACCAGTAACAAACAAAGGATCAAACCTACATCTACCATCATCATGATGCCATGTAAAAAAAATTATGAAAATTTACTTCCCTCACTATATAACAACGCGAATATCTACATTAATAATACGATGCCTTTTGTTCTGTAATGCTCCAGACGAGAAGCGAGACGAACTTTTCATCTAGCAGTATTCTGAATCGACAACATGACCCTGATCATGCCCACGGCCTCCTCCCGCAACCGCGCCGCCGTCATGCCCGAGGCGTCGGCTGGAGGCGGCAAGGTAAAGGTAAAGCATGGTCCGCCTGGAGCGCTCTCTCTCTCTTCTTCCCGAAGGAGGCGGTCACTCGCCAACAGCTGCGGATCTCAGCTACGTAGTCGGGAGTGGTCAAATTTCCCTGCCGGGGATGCGAAAGGATTTCATTGAGAATTCTTATCTCGATTTTCCTTGCTTTTGTTTGATATTTTGTAAGAATGATTACGATCTTATTGTATTTAAGTATGATTTTGAGACCAGTTGCTGACTACGTGGCACTGAGTTGGGTGCTGGCCTGACCCCTCTGAGCTTCCGTCTGACTCTACTCACGAAAAGACTAAACAAGATCTCTGCGATCATGAGAGATCTTGTTGGTCTGACGTCATACACTTGCAGATAGAAGCGAAAATATTGTGAGTCACTCTTGAGTAGAGACAACTGATAAATATAGAAGTAAGATATATGAAAAAAATTATGAAAGAGAATATTAGATTAGAGTAATGTTATGATATATTGCAATTAATTAACTGATAGAATAAGGGAATGTTCATGTTCATGTATATTTATTAATCTACCTATTTTAATGATTAGGCATTGAACAGTGATTGATGTAAATGTTGTATGTTGAGTTAGAAGCTTCCATAGCTAGTTCATATATTATTTTGCTGTAGAACTAATCCTGAATATTATGCTGTTCATTTGTCACGAAAGCTTCATAGATAGATATTATATATATGGCTTTCTGTATCTTTTTATTACTTCAAATTTTGGGCCATTATATTTCTTTCGTCTCTGGTAGGCATTGAGGCGGTGGTGATATGTTGCCATATCGTTGGTGCGATATTTTCTTCCTCCTCTCCTTCTAGTGCTGCAACACTCTGGCTCCGATTGACAGTCAGTTTTGGTCTCTCTACCATATTAATCTATGAATGTATAATTATATTATATGTTCTTAAGTTTTGACCGTTTAAAGCTATATATCAGGTATAACTTAACTATACACACATGATCAAATTATATACTTATTGTTACTTACTGTTTGCAGTGCAATTTATCATTGTATCGTGGCTACTTCACTATTGTTCAGTTTTTCTCAGTGGAGGTAAGTTTCATACTTTCCTAATTTCATATATATATATGAAAAACATTATGTATATATATATAGAACATTCTTTCATTAAATAACAAATCGGCAAATAATATTACTCATAAAAACAAATCACCAAATACTGTATATCTTTCATTCTATTCAAATGATACATTTATATTTAT